AGAGACAAAGTCCTAAATACTTTGCTTGTGAGCTTATAGTACTTACTTACACAATTTGAAAAAGAGCTACTCTGAACTGTGAACTGTTCTTCTTTATAGAACGTGGCCTCCTTTTGCTCTGATGCAGAAAGTAAATTGATGAATTTGCTACGAAGAAGTCTCTCACTCACACCGAGTTTAACTAAAAGATGTGCCTTGGAATGTCCCTCTTCCTGCAATTCAAGCCTGTATGCAGAGAACAAAAGCTTGGTAAGCTTCTGATCATTAATATTGTGTTAGTACCAACAGTACATACAATAAGGATATAAGTAGTTTTTATACTGATGGCTGTGGTAAAATGTCTCACTTCTCAGCCCACTCCATAGGTTCTCTTCAGGACAATGCAAACTGACTAGAAGCTTCCTTTGTGTGTGCATTTAGGACTGTTCCCCAGGGGGAACTGAGACTGTTCTTCCTCCAAGCAGTACAGAAAAACCTTCCCTTGTGGCCTGTGTTTTCACAATATACATTAAATATTAGGAATTTTAAATTAGTACCATTAATCAACATTTCCCTATGGATGATTTATGACTTCCTTGGTCCACTTGTGAAGATTATCTGATATGGGTGTCACTGGAAGGAAAATTCTTGATCTGTAAAGTTTTACTTCATCTTCAGTTCCTACCTTTGTTAGAACTTTGGCCTCCTGGTATTTTATTTTTTTTCCCTAGATATTTTTCACTATTTCCAGGATTTAAAAGGGAAGAGGCATCACCTAGTAAATATTCACGTTTTATAGCAATCTTGACAAAACTTGAGTTAAATACCACTCAAGTTTCCCATGAAGGCTGCTGGTGGCCACTTGTTCCTGATCTAGAGTACTGAGCACAGTCAGAATAAGCTTTTTTTTTTTTTTTTTTTCTGCCCCTGGTTATGAGAGAGATAGAAACACCCTGAATGTGAGCTCAGTTCCTGGGGACTAAATTTAAGGCATCCTTTTTCACTTCAGAGGGAGTGCTAATACTAAATTCTGAAGGTTTGGTTTAAAACAATGAGACATTAAAGGTATTTTCAAGTTAAGCATGTGTTTGAATTATTTTTTGTGGAACATCTACCTTGTGTATATTGTTATCCTCCAGTTTTTGGGTCTGTATTCTATCACTTATTTCTTCTTCTTTTTTTTTTTTTTTTTCCCCTTGTTTTTCCTATGTAACAACTTGCTGAGGACATACCTGGTACAGCAAAGGACTTAACTACTTTTTCTGAGTGCTTTGATTTCTTACCACCTGGCACAAAAAAGTTCCCATACACTTCACTTGTCAGAAACAGCATAAAAATGTGCTGTTTATTGTACCTGTAAGCAGTGATTTATCAAGCATCAATACTTGCAAGAATAGTATTAGTCACCATCAGAAAATATAAAACTGAAGTTAATTGGATGTGAATGGTGATATAGCATTTTTTAATCAGTTTTTTGTTGGTTTTGTTTTTTTTCTTCCATCTGTTGTGTGGAAATTATTGAGGAGGCTAATGGAATAGGACATTCTATTCAACATAAAATGTGTTTCTTTTAAACCAGATCTCTTCTTCTAAAACTGAAGTAAAGCATCTGACCCCTCTGTCAACTAGCACACCAAACAGGAAATTTTCTGCACAAGGGTCAGCAAAAACACTATCATCTGCTACAATTAATGAAGACCATCCCAGAAACAGCAAAAAGAGAAAGGCAATGGACTTCCTCAGTTGCATACCTGCCCCCCCCCCACTCACACCAATTTGTTCCAGCATTTCTCCATCTTTAAAAAAAGCTTTTCAGCCACCACGAAGTTTGGGTTTACAGCACAGCAAGTCATCAAAAGAAACAAATCAGAATACTGGTCGTGTCACCCCCTGCAGAAAACTGAGACATGCTGTCCATCTTCCTGAGAATGACCTGATTGCTGATGAAGAACTTGCAATGATTAACACACAAGCGCTCATTAATAATTTACCAGAAGAAAAGAAGATTGATTATGCAAATGAGAACAGCAGTACAATTGCTGCTAATGTATCTGATGATCCTTCACTCAAAAATAGCTCCAGGTCTACTGGGGGAGCAAATAACTCACCAAAAAGCAGTTCTGAAGTATCTGAGACTCTTTAAAAAGACCCCAAAGGAGCCTGAGGACTTGGTACCAGCCCACAGAATGCTAGAAAGACAAAAACACCAAAAATGCTACTAAATGCACATGTACAGTATTGTATATATTTCAAATTCAATTTATTTTTACACTTTGTACATTAAATCCTGATTGTGTTTAATAAATCTATATTACAAAAACAACGACTCGTGGAATGACATTTCATCTGCAAAATAATTTGGACTTGAGTAATTATACATTTCTCACACAGACACGTGTTGTACAATCACATCAGTGTGGCTGAAGCTTGGATGACATTTTACAAGCCATTGCTCTTATTCTGATGTATTCCTAAATTACAGCAGGATCTTTGCTTCAGTCTAAAGCAATCACTTTTGTTACCCTCTGGAATATTAGAATGGTTGCTTGGCTGTCAGAAGTAATACAGGGCAGAATAATCAATTCTTGGTAAGTTTATTGTTCCCAAACATTACATGTTAATTCTGAAATATTGCTCTGTAATTCTGCCATAGTTCTTGTACTTTCCCCCTCAAACTTCCCACATAGAGCTGAAAGTTTTAGAGAACAGCTGTGATTATTTGATTTGTAGCAAAATGCCACACGAAGGTATTAGAGAAAGATGCTTGGTCAGTGTTTCCAAGCCAGTCCTTAAAGAAGCACTTGAGGCCTCTGTGCCTGGCAAGGTCATGGAGCGGATCCTCTTGGAAAGTCTGCTAAGGCAAAAAAATAGAGGTGACTGGTGACAGCCAACATGGTTTCACTAAGGGCAAGTGATCTAGTGGCAGGGTTCCCTGCTCATGGCAGGGGGGGGTGGAACTTGATGATCTTGGAGGTCCCTTCCAACCTTAATGATTCTATGATTCTAGGCCACAGCATCATGTAAGATAATCAGCTCTTTGATTTCATCACAAAATCTTTTTGCCAGGAGTGAGTAAGTATGTGAATTCATTACTTGCCTCAACAGGTAAAACTTCTCAGAATTGAAATTTCTCTATTGGAGAGAGAAACAGCCCTGGCAAGACCAGCTGCCAACTCCACAATTTAGATTGTTGTCAGGCTGCCCCTTGCTCTGCTGTTTCCCACCAGGCACAGGTCAAAAGGGGGAGAATATTTGAGAACTAAGACTTCCAGCTTCCCACTTGGCAACCCTTCAGGGGTCCTAGGTCATTCAGTTGACTTCAGTGCTGATCTGGGGATGGCTCCAGACACCAAACTGGACATTGTAGCCAGACTGGAGAACTGTACTGGGCTGGCACAAGCTTGCTGGCAGCTCTGTATTCTGTGGAAAACTGCAGGGCTGGGATCCTCAGGCCCCATGTACAGTGATGATGATGCTTCATTAAATACAGCTTAAGTAGAAAATGCACTTCATATCAAAGATCTGCTGTGGCCTGAAGACAGCTTAGCCTTTGCCCAGAAGCAGCATAATCCTTTATACCTCTTGTTTGCTCAATGGCTAGATGAACAGCAGCTACACTTAGCAGTAGAAAATGGAGAGAGCTCATATCAGAGGCTAAGTAACTCACTACTGCCCTGGTCTGTGAGCACTGCCTAATAATCCACACCCACTTAAAAAAAAATAAAAAAAAATAAAAAATTGCAATCACAAACACTGAGGTTTAGAAATATTTGATGAAGCTTCTTGGTAAGGACACCAGCAGCAGAATGTAAAAATACAGCCAGAACTACTGCAGGGTAGCTGCTTTTCTCACCCATCCATTGGTCAGTGGCTCATCAGCACTTGGTGGTGGATGGAGCTGATTTCTTCCTTCACAAGAACTTTGTTTTTTCTTCTTTCTGAAGTGATGATTTTTGTACTTGAGTTCATTTGCATATTTGGTAGCCTTGTGTTTCAGCTATTCAGAGATGCTCCTGTAGCCCTGCTCTTGCTTAAAGATTAACAAGCACCAGCCTAACACCAATGTTTCTTTTCAGGAGCTTTGTCTGGTGATCAGTTGAATTCCTATGTCTTGGCAAGCTGCAGTGCTGTTTGGTGTGTTTCACCTCCAAGCTGGAGAAGCTGTTTGGCTGTGCTACAGCTAAGGTAAGACCAGCATGAATCCAGAGGGCAGAGGTGTAGGTAGGAAACAGCACTAAATCTTGCTACAATCTGTTAAGGCTGCCACTTTCACCATCCACTTCTCCTCTCTTAAAAATAGCAGTAATGCTCTAAGCAAGAGGGAGTGGGAAGATACAGAAGGTTCAGATTTAAAGCTGCAGTGCTGTTTGGTGTGTTTCACCTCCAAGCTGGAGAAGCTGTTTGGCTGTGCTACAGCTAAGGTAAGACCAGCATGAATCCAGAGGGCAGAGGTGTAGGTAGGAAACAGCACTAAATCTTGCTACAATCTGTTAAGGCTGCCACTTTCACCATCCACTTCTCTCTTAAAAATAGCAGTAATGCTCTAAGCAAGAGGGAGTGGGAAGATACAGAAGGTTATACAGATTTAAAGTATTAAAATGTCAAGAAATGACAACTGTGTGAAGAAGGAATTGGCCCAGCGTGGCCTGTAGGAAAGTAAGAATTTAGAAATATTTTTTGTTACCTGATAGTGACAGAGCATGATGCTGAAAACAAACAAAAAAACAAACAAAACCAAAAATCATGTGGCACAGCCAGGAAATTTCAACATAAGCTTGAATGGATTTTCATAGAAGAAGAATGAGAGGGAATACAGTTTGTACTGGGGAGACTGGTCTTCATTCTGTCATTTAGAGCTGTGAGCTCATAATCCAGTGACATTTGAAGACTTGTAAGAAATACAAGCAATTTAGAAGTATAGTAGAAAAATGCAAGAATAAAAAACAGTTTAGGAAAACAGTATGTAAAACCTAGGCACTTTTACACCCTGATAATTAAAATGCACTGAGGAATCCGCCTCTTCATTGAAACGACACGTTTGGATGTGCCCTGCGAGGTCGTCTGTTTGAGAAGGCTGCAGGGTGGTTGGAACAGGCACCCGTGCTATAAGCTGCATTTGGTCCACTAGAGCTTCTCTCATCTCTGCTTGGTTTTTCAGACTGAAGAACACTGTGGAAAGTGACGTTGTGCTCATACTGTTCTTTCATCCGTTGTATCTTTTCTCGAGGGACGTGATGAGTGTTTCTTCTGCAGAGTTAACATTAACAGAAAATACAAGTATTTAGCTGCCCATGCACTAAGGTTACCTTAAGCTTGTTAAGGTTCCTGATAATTCAGGAAACCCAGTTCATGTTCTTGTGGATCTATTTCTAGCTCTTTTTCTGCCAAATTGTTACTCACTCCCACCTACTTAAAAATACTTTTGTGGCTGCTGAAATATGTAATGCAAGTATTTTTGTGGGCAGCCAGGACATAACACGTTAGACATGCTTTGAAATGTAGGCCAGGTAAGAAAGAGCTGTGTAGAAGACCTGTGTATTATTTCACATGGGGTTTAGTGCTAATGGCTTGTTGGCCTCAGGCTAAAGTTAGAGCTTTTACAAATCTGGAGAAAGGCAGACAAGGGCTGTAGATAGCCCAGCCATTGGCTCATCAGCAACAAGCAGAGAGGTCAAAACCTGCTGTTGCTTTGTCTGAGCACATGTGGGTAAAAAAATCATACCTGATGTGGCTTATGCTCCAGGGCAGATTTGTAAATGATGGCACTTCTGAGAGGGAGCAGAATGGGATGCTCAGACATGCAGAGCTTTCTGCATAGACCAAAAAGGCTGCAATCTCTCAACACTTCAGTGGGAATTGTTTTTTTCCACCAGGGATTTATGCGTCTCTGCAAATTCTGAATATCTTTGGTTTTGTCATGTAGCTCTATTAGGCACCATTAATCATATAGAATCCAAGTTTGTCCTGCATCCGTATTTTCAAAGCCTTGTGGTGTGTGCAACTCCTGTGTCACCCCACGTGTGTTTTTCCCTGGTGGAATTGAGGTGGCATAAGGCAGCAGGCTGCCAGCTTCAGTGTCCCACTGTGAAGCAGACACAAGGTCCTCCAGCAGCCACCTCTGCAGCCTGTGCCTGGGACCAGCAACCAGCACAAACCATATTGCCAGTAAAAACACCATGTGGAACCAGAACAGGAGCAACCTTCAGCTGTCCCTGGATCATTTGCCAAAGAGCTTCTCCAGCCTGTGGGTATCTGAATTAGCTTCACAGTGCTACTGTAAAAAGCCAACTTGTTTCAAATTATTCTTTATTAAAAAAGCAAGTTCCTGAGTAGTTTGGCTGATAGTGAACAATCCTGAGTAAAACCTGCCTCTGCAGTGATGTCCTACAAGGGGCTCCCAGCTGCTGCTGGTGAAGCAGGAGCTGACACTTGCAGTTGACAAGGCTGTCAGTGTCCTGATGTCTGCCTTCAGCCCCAAGCCCTCAGCTGCCATCTGCCATGTCCTGCCTCACCCTGAAGGCACAAGCACCCTGAGCCAGGTACCTCTGCCATTTGTCACATGGGACAAAAGGAGCAGCACTGATTTTTAGCTAGAGATCCTTGCTGGTACAAACCGATCAGTTGAAACAAAGTACCCATCCCCTGTTTTCATGTGATAACAAATTAGTTGGCACGTGTTGGCTTCTGGATCCAGTACATTCCCTGTAATGTACTTTACATCAGGTTGGTTAAAGGTTGGGAAATTAGCCTGCATGGATTATTTTATTTATATAAGCTTGCATCCAACAGCCAAACTAAGATGCTTAAGAGCCTCCACATTATGCAGAGCTGAGAAGCTCATGGTATCCCTTCTGTGTGAAGATCCTTGGCCACACAGTGTAGCATCCACCACTGCACGGCAGTACATGTTATAGATATTTTGAAGAACAGACATCTGAATATTTTCTGTAGTGCTCAGACATGTTTTGTGCCAAGAGACAGTGCTGCCTAAAATACAGAATGAAAATGTTGGGTTCCCACTACAAGAAGCTTGCAGTATAAGTACACATTTCGGGGGGGGAGGTGTTACTTTTTCTACTGCCTGAATCACTTCAACACAGTCAGGCTCTTTCAGGGCTAAAATCACTGCAGACCAGGTTCTGAGTGATAGAAATTTCCACAACAATCCTTCTGCTGTCATTTCCTAGGTTACTTTTTAGGGCAGAAGCAGAGGAAGAAGGCTGGCCTTTCTCACAGCACAGCAATGAAATGAGAAGCTGTCTGCTGGATAAAAGTGAAAAAGTTGTACCTCGTCAGCTCCCGAACATTGAACTTCCAGGGTGTATCTGGTTCTTGGAATGCAACTTCATATCTATTTTCACGTGCCTGAAGAAGTACACAGAAGCTTTAGATGTATGGCTGCCATGTATGGTCCTCCAGACCCTCTGAGATTTTATCTAAGAGATTTATCGTATGTGCCAGGAGCCAGAAAGAGGAAGATAACCATGTCTGCCATCAAGGTGCTGGTCTGACTCCCAGATGGTTCCTCTCCTTCTACATCAAAGATTTTGGGTCTCCCAGCAAAACTTGCCTCATGATTGTCCCCAGGCCCTGTCCCCCACAGCAATGGCATCCTGGCACTTGTACTCCCTGGAAACCACAGGTGGTTCAAGAGCCACAAGTTGACCACACCAATCTAGAGCTTCTGGGAATCTGAGGTCAACAACCAACAGTCATGCTACTTCCAACCACTGAGTCTGTAGGCCTCAATTATTTACATGTAAATAAATATATTTGTGCTTTATGCAGATACGCAAACACATACATATATATATATATTTAATACAATTATCGATTGCTTTTGAGTTTCAACTTGAAGAAAAGGAGGCAGGGGAAGCTGTTGACCCTTGTCCACCTGGCTGTCCTCTCTCACTTGCCTCCTAGTCACCCAGAAGCATTCACAACTGCTGCTGGAGTGGCACCTCCAGGCTTTGCAGCACCACTATTAATTCCTGCCTCGTTTGTGCTCTCATAAAAGCAGAGTCAAATGTCTTACCTGACAAGACCATAACTCACAAACTTATAGCTGTGCACAAACATGATTGTAATGTTAGCAGACAGGCCATATTATGAAACTGTACTAAAAAACTGCCATCTCTGCCAGAACTCCCAACAAGAGATACCAATGCATCTTTGAAGATGGTTTATGGTGTATTTTTTACAGGTCATAAACTAAAATTTTAAGTGCTGTCTTGGTTTATTTGTCAACATACAGTTTGGGAACTGTTCAATTCATGTCACTGCTGGGGAAGGGGATGACATCCTGATCACCAAGAAGTTACAGAGCGACTTCAAAGACTGTTAATCTTTTCAAGTGATTTTGCCTTCACTGAGGTATTTATCTGACTAGATAAAACAACTTCACTGACACCTCCTCCCCTACTTCTTCACAGTATCAATCATTAACTATAGAGGACTAAGGGAAAATTGAAGTAATTATTTTTAGCCGTGCTAAGAACCATTTCACTCAGATCACCTCTTAAATGTCATAGCTGAGCACATAAAAGCAATAAATCAGAGCTTTCCCTACCATCATCACATAGGGCTTCATTTCCCAAGCATGGATGTTGGTATTGTCAATAATAACCGGGCTTTTCCCATTCTTCATTGCTTTGCGTGCTGTAATGTAACACATTGAGTAAAGCTATAATGTGTTAAATAACAGAAGGAGCCAGGTCTCAGTAGCCCCAAGGTGTCCTTTCTTACTAGTAGCATGCTTGGTTCCTCTCTAGCCTTGTCTTTGTAGCTGCCACCCAAATGTGAGCAGAGGTCAGTGCCCAGCAGGTGCTCTCCTGCAGGAGGTGACGCAGCCACTGGCTGTGCTCAGTAGTAAGATCTGAACCTCTCGTGGAACATACTTAGTGGCATCACAACACTAGGTATTTCCAACAGCTGAAAATGACTGTTATTTGCAAGAGATCCCTGTTACATGACCTCAAAGTATGTTTGTCATTGCTAGAAATGAGTTCAGAGCACAGCCACCATTCTCAAACTTAAGATTAGGTTTGCAAGTTTTCCTCCTGGCCATCACCTAAGAAGTTACAGTCTGCAGGATGCAGTGCAGAGCTGTGGTGAGCAGCTGCTGGGCTGGTATTTGCATGCCACCTGCTGTTACCAGCTTCAGCAGTGCTGTCTTACAGACTTTTTTTTTCACTTTCTAAAAACAACATCTCTCAATCACCAACATTTTTTAATTTATAAATTTCTCTAAGTCCAAAGAAATAAAATCAGAAGTGGCAAATGTATTTTTTTAATGGGTACCCCATGAACCACGGGTTATAATACCACTTGGAGACATTTTATTTTGGGGGCTGAGCTTAAAGACAGACTGAAAAGGGAAACTACTGGGCAAAACCCCTGGACTGATTTCAGTCACCTCTCTTTTGGTTCCATTTGTGCGCGTCCTCTAGCAAGTCAGGCTCAAACACATAGACACCATTTTCGATAAAGAAGTCATCAGTACTAAGAACCACAGCACTGGGAAAGTCACGTTTCAGTTGTCTGAAAGAAAAACAAACAAACAAGGAGATAAAAGAAGGATTAGTATGTGCTAACACACTTGCCTTTAACAGAGAACATTAAATCAAGAGCCGGGTGAATCCTCTGCAAATGGGCACCCTGCTTCGTTTTGAAAAATCCCAGCCTAAAGGAACTGAAAATATTGTAATGAGTAGAATGACACATATGAGGAAAGGAATGAAGCTTAAAGGTGTGACCTTGATTTCTTTAATCCAGCAGAGAAACCTACACTAGACTGCCAACATGGGAGTCTTTAATCATATCAATACATTCAGTTTTCTTTCTCAGTTATCTGAGAAGGTATGACTGTAGATACTAAAAAAACCCAAAACAACAAACGAACAAAAAAAACACCCCAAAACCAAAAAACCAAACACCAAAACTGCTAATCCCAAAGAAGTCAGTCTCAAAAGACTATTTGATCATGGCAGTTTTGCTACAGAGAGATTTTCGAAGACAACCAGGGGGAAATATTTATCATTTAGTGAATCATAGACTGGTTTGGGTTGGAAGGGACCTTAAAGATCACCTAGTTCCAACCTCCCTGCATGGGCAGGGACACCTCCCACTAGACCAGGTTGCTCAGAGCCCCATTCAACCTGGCTTTGAACACTTCCAGGGATAGGGCAGCCACAACTTCCCTGGGCAACCTGTTCCAGTGAAGATGGTCTATGTTACCATTAGTTTGTCTTACTTTTGGTTTTGGCTACAAAGCAGGTAGCCAAAACTTTTTAATTTGCAAACAAGTATCTAAGTGACTAGTTGATATTTCTTGTTATTTGTTGCAATTTCTTGTTATTTGTTGCAATGTTATGGTTCTTTCTGCTTCTCACTTGTCCTGCTTTTACTTAATCCTCTTGTAAAGTTGAGCCATTTTTCTTTTCAGCTTTTAAGCATGTTTTATAAACAAATCTGAATTGCCTGGACTGGCAGCCCCAAACGCAACAGGTCCATAAAAACAGTGCCCCGTGAGCACGAGACAATCTCCCTTCTCTTCCCACTGATGTGTGTCTCCCAGCCATGCTCATTTCGACCCAGGATGCCCAGTGACAGGCACTAGGAAGTGCTGGCTTATGTGGTGGTTTGAGTGCGAAGCTTTCCCCTGCCAATCCTCAGAAAGCATTTAAAAAAAAAATAAAAATCTTAATTCAGAATTGTGTTCCTATTTGTGTGTAATCCAGAATTATTTGTGTCAGTGCACAGAACTGAAGCAGGCGGGAATAGCCCACGGCATCATCTCACTGCTCTCTGCCTCCCTAAGGCTCAATATGTCGCTGGAAAAGAAAGTAAGGCCAATCCAGGAACCTTGTGGTGCTCAGACACGAATGCTGCTGCCCTGCTATCTCACACCACACATGGTCTCCAGTTTCTGGGACTCATTTCAGCTCCCCTGATAAAACACTTCTCTCCATCCCCATAAACTGCAAAATACTATTTCTCAATGCCTTATCTAATTGAGCAACAGTGAGGGAAAAGGTGCCTCAGGGTTATCAGCAAAAAACCAGACCCAGACTGAAAAGACTTAATTCTGTCCTCTCCAGCTCTGCTTTAACCATTTAGTTACCAATTTTTTATCCTCATCTGCCTACAAGCAGCAACTCTTCACTAGGGCTGCACATTGCACCCAGCTGGATAAAGGTTGGCTTCTGACTTTGTTCCACCTCCACTGTAACTTCTATCATCTGCTGATTAATTCATATTGCTTAGTGACAGCAACTGCCCCAGGGAGCAGAGAAGGATTGTGGACAGGCTGGCCAGGGCTGCTCCACAGGGCTGGGCTGGAGCTGATCAATCACGGTATCATGTCTTTACCACTGAGCTCCAAAGGGCTGTTTTAAGCACCTAATCACCACTGGGCAAACAGATCTAACAAGACTGTTAGGAATCAGCCAAACTATTTCTGCTTTAATTTTGGGCATTCTTATCATGAAAAGCATGGGAGCACCTAATGCTCACCTGGTTACTCCTCTGTTGATAAACTGACACATTCAGTTCTCACAGTAATTCAGCACCTCCCCTTTCCCACTTCGCAGTCTCTTCTCTAAGAAACTGACACTGCTAAAATATGATATGCACATAAAACTGTATATAATAATAAAAGATCTCAAGATTATTTTTTCTTGCTCATTGTTTCCTTTAAAATGTTCCCAGTCAGTGCAAATTTTAAGAATTTTCTTAGCATATATATTACTAAATTTTTTAATACATATGTGCAGACTTGCATGGGAGCTTTGATATTAACCCTTTAAGTGATTTGAATAGCATGTGATTAGCTATAAACTCTGCCTATTACCTGCATATCAGTGGTAATTAAAGATAAAACTTGTGTTTCAAAGGAGGAAAATTATGGTGTAAAATGTGCTAAGAACTATAAACTACTGTCACATCTGCTATATTGATACCAAACAAACTCCTACTAACAGCAACAGAAGAAAACATTAAGTGGGAAAAAGATGATGTTTTACCTTCTGCTTATTTTGCTGTTTTCAACTTCTAGAATTCTAAACCAACCAAATGGACACTAAAGTTTATGACCATTTTCTGTAAGCCCCTAATGCCCGTGAAGCTGACACAAATCCCATTCCTTCTGTTCCCTGTCACTCCAAAGGGCACCCAAACCTCTTCAGGAACTTACTTGAGAAATAAGTCTTCAATTATCTCTACAAAAGGACCACAAGTTGTCTCAGGGGACAGGGTTTACATAATCACATCAGGCTCCTAATCACTGCATGCAATGAAAACACCAATATTTCAGCAAAACACACAGCACCTAAGCAAAACAGGAGGACCTGTCACCGGTGTTATTAATTACTAAATTTTGAGCAGCAAAGAAAATTACCCATTAGATCAGTAGTAAATGCAAAGCACACTCAGGAGGACAAGAAAAATGAAGTCTCTTTGCAAGATCAAAGGGTACATACTAAGTATGTTGGCCTTGCAGCACTGCATTGTGATAAGCAGTATCTGTCACAGGCTCAGGATGAATTTGCCTACTTGGGGCATTTAATTGCAGAGCATTACAGCTCCCTATCTCACAGTAGATTGAAAATATGGTGTGCTTTGTCTCTTGCTAAAGAAAAGTTAGGTGCTGTTTCAGATAATAGGAAGGGTAAGAAAATAAGAAGTGAAAGGGGGATGTTCCCTTTGGTTGCCATAAATCTCCCCAACACTTTTTTTCCCCCTTCCCCAAGGCCAAGCAGATTCCCACCCTAGATACCGTATCTCGTTAGACTGGCTGATCCAGCTGGGAAAAAAAAAAAGCTTTCAGGTGCTTCTACTCTTCAGATCTGACGTAAAAGCAGCAAACTTCATGTGTCCACCAGCAAGGCCTGGGAACTGATTAAGCCCCCTGAAACACCAGGCTGGCAGAGGACATCGCTGTCTGCCCACACAAACCCCAGCGGTAGCCCCAGTAGCCCAGGTGCTTCTGATCTTGGCTAGTGTGGGTGTACACCCATCTGCTGCCTCACCTGCTCAGCTCTAGGGTGGCTGCTGTGACTACCAAAGGAGAATCTTTCTGTTGAAGATACAGCCATGTTTCTGTTTGACTGCAGCAGCACTGTGACAACTGCCTCAGGAAACAGACAGGTGGCTTTAGAGTCTTCTGTGCTATTCAGCTGAAGACCTGGTCCCATGATTTATCCAGGTTTTGTAGTTCTCTTTTTCCTAAAGAACATCTTAACTGCTTGCAAAGTAATTTCAGATTTTAACTGTATACACAGACAATGAAATAACTATTCAGGATTTCAACTAGCTGGATGCATTAGAGTACATGGGAGAAGTCTCCATGATCACTGGAGACAAAAACCATCCATAACTCTATTTCATAAGCTATCACATTTTTTTCCATCAGAAAATTGAAAATAGATGAACTTCTGATATTGATCCTGAAAAGCAGATTGGAAGGAACATTTCCAGTGCTCAGAAACTACCAGAATGGTGTGTCAAGCAGAACTTGGGGACAGTAAATTCTCAAGCTACTACCAATACAATGGAGGTCAGAATGTGTATGTGCTCACACTACCTTCAGCCACTTGCTCTGGTCACTCTTCCTATTACAAAGCATTCCTGTGGCACTTAAAAGCCTTTGGTTTCAGCAGAAAATCAGAAGTATGAGAACTGGAGCACATGCCCAGCACTATCAGTTGCCTGCTGTGTTCTAACAACTTGGAGTGCCCGGGGACTTTGCCCTGTGGAGCCAGGCCAGCCGATCCCTGTGCTGCTGGCAAAGCCCAGCCTGTGCCTCACCCAGGGGGGCTGGAGCAGGGCTGCATTTTGCAAAGCAACAGGCTGCACCTTGTGTTTGATAAACACATTCAGGAGAAACACCTGAAGCAGTTTCAAAGGTAAACGTTTACAGTGCATTGCTGCCTGGAAGGAGCTGCAGAGCTGAAGTCCATGAATCTGGTCATAGCAGCAGCTCTGCAGGGGGTGAGGGTGCTGGTGAGAGCAACAGGGCTGGCCCAGGGCTGGGTGGGGGGCAGGAGGAACTGGGCAAAAGCAGCAAAGAGAACTGGAGAAGGTACAGGTTACAACAAGCAGTGATGCCTCAGTGCCAGTGCATGTTTTTCTTCCTGTTCTAGACAAACACTTCTGTGCTTCATAAGGGCACACAAGAACAAACTTATTTTGGGTGATGGATCAAGAGCAGAGGCCAAAATGCTGCATGTTTGATTCTGCCCCTTGAGCAAAACTGCTAGGTGGAGGGTTACACGTTACCTGAGTTGTGCATCATTGCACTAACTTGCAGAAAAGCTGGAAATGCAGCCACTGTGCAATCACAAGTCTCTGGGGGAAGCAGGTATGAGCTTGTATGCAGCTCATCTGATTTTTAGAGTCATTTTTGGAAGCTATACTGCTATCTCAGATAATTGTTTTCTTAGAAGTTGCCCAGGTCTGATAATGAAATCTGTACTGTGGAGTCAGAGGTAATGCATTCAGGAGCAAGGGGTCACACATGCCTGCTGGTGGCTACTGGAGATGCAACCCCCAGCAAGTCCTCTTCTCCTACACCCTTCTGCTGGTGGTGCCTTAGGTGAACAGCTAGAGAGAGATGTCTAGGGTCACCTAAAATATGTGAATCAAGGAAGCCTGTTATCAACAGTGAAGGATCTGGAAAGGTTTGGAGATTGATGGTGCCTTGCTCTGCCTTGACTGTTAAATGCATCCCAGTTGGATCCTTTGCTGTCTTTACCAGAAACCAAAGACCAGACCTGAACTGGGCTGTACCAATGTCATGCTGCTCTGAGCTGGGGGAGCAGCCCAAATGGGGAAATCATTTTAACAGAGATGCTGTAACTTAATCTTGCAAAGCTGTGTCCAAACTGTGCTGATTGTGTGAGGAACTGAAAATGGACTTTTCTGATGGAGTTATCAGTGAGTTGCTGTGTCACCAGTGATAACATTCACAGTTTGTGACACTTCTGAGCACTGCAGAGATGTACAAGTTATAACAGAAATCCTGCCTGATCCGAAGAATGGCACATGAAAGCACCAGAAGAAACAGCAGAGCAAAGGCTAGAACAATGGCACACACTGATAACCACCTGGTTGACAGCAATAAAACTGGGAGGGGTGCTGTTTACAGCCCTGAAAGGCCAGTGGTCTGCTAAGGCCCAGCACGGATGCCTTGTTGCTGGAAGACCTGTGCTCTGAGAGTAGGAGGAAGGTGAGCAGGTCACACCAGCCTGTACACACTTTCCTTCTTTCCCTGGTTCCAACAGGGGGAGAGGTTGCAGCTGAAAAGACACCAAAAATGGGAAACTGGAAATAGTGGGCAAAAAATCCCATCTAAGACTCACGGAGAACCAAGTAAGCAAAATTTGGAGGCAGAAAGATGGCAGCAGAAACTGGTGGCTGTGAGACCACAGACTGGGCAAAACCCCACTCTGTCACTACCTACTAAGAGGAACACAGAAGAGAAAGTGAGGGTGGGACAGCTGAAAGTCCTTGTCCTCTCTGATTTTGGACACACCTGTGCACACATCTTGGTGCTTCAAGTATTTGGGTGTGACACTGTCAGCGAATACCCACAGTCTGGTATTTCTCAGCTCTCAGTGCCACCTACTCTCCATCGAAAGAGGAACATTCCCTGCCTTGTTATTCCCCTTGGGTGAGGAACCCGTGCTGGAATCACCAGCTGGCTCTGCTCTGAAAAGGGGCAGCATGAAGCTGGGTTAAGCTACAGGTTCCTCATTTCAGCACGGTCCTCCCTGTCACACTGGGCTTCTGCAAAACCAGGTTCTGCAGTGAACAGCCAGATGCTGTGTTTTACTGACACCTAAAATAAATCCCTCCCTAAAGAGGTCCAAGTGCAAGTCCCTTCTCCTTCAGAGGGGTTTGGCTCTTCCCATGGCACAAGAACAATTTAATCAACACAGATCAAAGAAGAGCTGTAAAAACAGGCAGGGAGTATCACACCAACCGCAGCACTGTCTCCCAGTGCTCCCCTCGGGCTTTCCCCACCTATTTCTAACCAGCCTTGGAGCTGTCAGAGAGCGGCACGGCCTCCTTTGCCCTTTTTGAGCACCCCTACAGCTCTGACCAGAACATCACGAAAACACAGGCCAGAGCTGCCGTCGGGTTTCACAGCCAGGGAGGGGAAGCGCTTCCCCGTATTTGTGACTAACCACAAAAACAAAACGTCACCAGTCTGGAGCTTTTTAAAGAAGAAACAACAACTACCGCGGCTCGGATGGTCAGTCACCTCACCGCAAGCACCCTCGGGCGCTGCCGGCCCCGCAGCGGTGACAGCCCCGCCCGGCGCTGGGGAGAGGGGGGTCCCGAGCGCTGTGCCCCGCGGGTTCCGCCTCCCTCCCCAGCCAGAAAACCTGCTCTGGAGCGGCGTCTCGGCCTTTGTCAGAGCGGTTTGTTGGCAGCGAGAGCTCCGGCTCCCCC